GATGTCAGAAGAACAAACGTCGGGGCGTAAGGCGCGTGCAGTATTAATGACACGAGCAGCAAAGTCCAGCATGCAGGCGTCTTGCCGCCTCCGCGCGCACCAGCGCCGCCGTTGTCTGCCACACGGATGGCATTAGGGGCAGGAGGAAGGAGGCGGTGGCTCGGCAGCTCGGACAACCTGGACGACGCCGCACAAGGGCAGCGCACTGGACGAACTTGGACAGGAGGAGAGAGAGTGCCGACCACGGGGTCAGGACGTCGGCAACGAGGAAGTAGGGCAGTGCGATACCTCCTCCAGCTCATGGTCCAGCCTGGGGGGGCTCACTGCTGTCTCACGGCGACCCGTACTCTTAGTAGAAGCGTGCGGTCGGGGGGAGGAGGTGGATGAGGAGGAGGGCGGGGAGGAGGAGGTCCGATCCTCCGCCCCCGAGCTGAGCTACACGACCAAAAGGCAATAAGAAGGAGTGGAGGAAGGGAGAGCGCGAGTTTGCACCCGCGGCCCTCACCCACCCCCTCCTGCGCTGCACTCCCCGAAAGCGGCTTGCCTGCTGCCGGGCCGGGCAAGGCCTTCCCTAGTAGTACAAGCACCGCCCACTGTCCAAGATTACACCCTTCTCCTCCCCCTCCTCCTCCTCCCTGCCCCCCTCCGGGCCTCGGGGAGAAGCCGAAGCCCTACACGAAGCAGAGCCAGCTTGCCTCCGAGGACGTCCTCCTGCCCCGCCCCGCCGCGCCGCCCGCGAGGACCTCCCGAGGAACACGAAGCCCGAGTACAAGTACGAGCCACTGACCTTTGATTGCCGTACGCCGTTGGGACTAGCTGCCCTCTCCCGCCCCTGTGTACTAGCTGCTCGAGCCGCCGCCCCCAGTTACTCCGGAGGAGATGCAGACGACGCGTCTTCACGTCAACAGGATTTGAAGTCGAGAGTTTGACAGCCGACCCTCGGATGCAGCAGGCTGCCGAGGGGAAAGATTCTTGTTTGTTCGTCCTGGCATATTTCTCCCGCTTGCCGGTTGGCTCGACCTCGTTCCTCTCTCTATCTCTCTCTCTCCCTTGCACGCGGCGAGGGCGGAGTTACGGAGCAGTCGGACGAGGTCCCATATCCTGGGCTGGGAAGGAGAGAGGTGCTCAAGAAGTGTGCGGCATCCTCTCTCTCACACACATCTACACAGCACAGACACACACACACACACACACAAAAACACACACACCTGCACACAGACTCGAGGGCGCGGGGGTACCTCGACCTACCTCAACGAGCAAGACGCTGAGTGCACGGCGCAAGGAACACGAGAAGAGAATGTGGTGGTGAGAGTGAGAGAGCGAGAGAGTGAGTGAATGAGAGGGAGAGCGAGAGAGGAAGAGAAAGAGAGAGAGAGAATGGGAGTGAGAAGGGTTGAGTGCGGCTGAGGAGGGCAGGGCGCACAAGATGGAGGTGGGGAATGCGTGACAACGCTATGAAGAGTCCACAGTGGCGTAGAGGGGTGGCGGGGCGCGGAGTGGGGGGAGG